CTCGCTCGGGGCGGGTGGGTCCCCGCTCGCGTCGGCCGCGCTGCCCCGGAGCTCTTCCATCAGGGCCGGTGCGCGGCCCGCGCCACACCGCCACTCCTGGGCCTCTGGGTGGTTGATTGGAGGTTGAGTTGCCTGATTTTCCGGCCCCGGGGGCTGGCCTCGAACCTCGGTCCTCACTCAGCTCTCAGCCTCCTGAGTAGCCAGGGCGACTGGCTGTTGCGTTTTGTGTTGAAGTCTGTTTTTACGCCACTAATTTGTTGGCATCCTCCTATGTTTCTTCCTGGCAACAGTTATTAAGGAGTTGCTTGCCTCCGTGGTTTTGTGTTTTAACTTTTAATTGCAGTTCTGTAAACAGGAGCTGGCTGTTTTTCAGTTAAGTACTTTTTCAAGTATTGGTATGACTATGAACTCATAGGTGTTGATCAGGTGGGCTGTCACGAACTGCTGTTGGTTTTGTTGTTGGTTGTGGGGTTTGAACTCTGGGCCTGGGCGCTGTCCTTCAGCTCTCCAGCTCAAGGCGAGTGCTCTACCACTTGAGCTACCCACAGCACCACTTCCGGTTTGCTAATGGTTTATTGGAGATCAGAGTCTCAGGGCCTTTCCTGCCTGGGCTGGCTTTGAACCGTGATTCTCAGATCTCAACCTCCTGAGTAGCTAGGATGACAGGTGTAAGCCACTGACCCACTGACGCCCAGCCTTGTGGTATTATTTACTGTCATTCACTCACCCTTCCTAAAACCAATGCCTCCTTGATTCTAAAGGTGCCCATCAATGGCTCACACCTGTAATCCTAGCTCAGTGAGCCAGGCTCAGTCAGTGCTGAGAGAGGGACGCAGCAGACGTGTAAGTTGGCCTGCAGTCCAGCCGTGGAGCTTAGGCTGAGAGAGCATGCTTTCTATTGCTCCTTTGTAGTGTTCATCTAGGCACCACCCATCAAGCCAGACTCTTGACTGGGCCCGTGCAACCTGGAGATAAAATGTTTCCTTCCTCTTTGTGTTCCAGCGAGAGGGCACGGCCTGTGGGGACTCCTCTGTCCTGAGCCTGAGTAAGGTCCAGGTTGTCCTTGGCGGTGGGAGGCCTGTATGGGCGGGGAGCCTTCCTCCACACCTTCTGTTTCATTTCCTATGGAGGATGATCAAGCTGTGCAGTCAGGGCTTATCTGCCCGTGGCTATGCCACATCCCACTCCTGGGCTCTAGTGGGGAAGGGCCAGGGTTCAACCTGCTCTCGGTCACCCAGACCAGACCTTGGCCCATGTCATACACTCTGCCAGGCCTCGTTTTCTTTATAAAGTGAAAGGTGATTCCCTGGCACGCACTTGTGGTCCTAGCTATTCAGGAAGCTAAGGCCAACCTGGGAAACATAGTGAGACTATCTCTAAAGAGAGAATCTGGGTGCACGTGGCTCACGCCTAATAATCCTACCTACTCAAGAGACTGTCGACTGAATATCGAGGTTCAAAGTCAGCTGGGGCAGAAAAGTCCAGGAGATTCATCTCCAATTAACCATCAGAAAACAAGATGTGGAGCTTGTGGCTCCAGTGATAGAGCAATGCTAGCCTTGAGCAAAAGAGCTCAGGGACAGCATCCAGGCCCCACGTTCAAGCACCATGACTGACAAAAAACAACAAAAAGCAAACAAACCAAAAATAAACCACCTAGGGGCTGGGGAGGTGGCTCAGTGGTAGAGCGCTTGCCTTGCATGCCTGAGGCCCTGGGTTCGATTCCTCAGCACCACATAAGCAAAAAGAAAAAATCCGGGAGTGGCACTGTGGCTCAAGTGGTAGAGCGCTAGCCTTGAGCTGAAGAGCTGAGGGACAGTGCCCAGGCCCAGAGTTCAGGCCCCACGACTGGACCCCCAAAAAAATATCATTCAAAAATAAACCACCTAAACACAGCCAAAGGAGAAAGTGTGTGTGTGTGTGAGAAAGAGAGACCATCGATCTAGTAATCAAAGTCCATTTGGGGCAGTGAGCAGGATCTGGGAAGGTTGGGTTCATCAAGAAGATAAGGTAATTGCAACTATGGAAGCAGTGGGGGGCGGGGTTGGGGGGACCTTGGAGGCTCCCTAACAAGGCTGTCAAATGCTAACTGCAGATACAAAGAAGCCAGCCGGCAGAGTTCAGGGAGGGCTTCCTGAAGGAGGCAGTGCCAGTTGTGACCTGAGAAACTAAGGCAGCTCCCAAAACCAGAGTGTGACTCAATTACAGAGCTCCCAAAGCTGGGCAGAAAAGGGGCGACAATCAGCCCCCGAAGCAGGCTCTGCTCTGTCTGTGATCAATCCCAGCTATTCAGAAGGTTGAGACCTGAGGACGGGGTTCGAAACCAGCCCAGGCAGGCTGTGATCAGTGGAGAGTAGCCGGAAATGGAGCCCTGGTTCAAGGGGCATGGCGCCAGTCTGGAGTGCAAAAGGCCAGGGACAGCGCCAGGCCCTGAGTTCGAGTCGCAGCCCTGGCACACCCCAAGCACCCCATCACCACTGCGAGCGTGCACGCGGGGAGGCGCGTGTCCGGAAGCCCTGCACCCGGCGCCTCCCGCACGCACAGGCGCCGTGGGGGCGTCCCGTCACCCCCTCCCCCCGAACCTCGGGGTTGGGGTCCCGGGGGCTTCGGGCGGGCGTCTGCACTTAGGCGAACGCGGTCAGTGTTTTTCCAGCCGCGGGAGCTCAGCGAGCCGCGAAGGGGTCGCCGTCTGCCACTCGCGGGCTCCC